TGTATTTTTTTGTTTCCTTCCTTTCTTTTGAAACGTTGAACACCACGTACATGCTTATCTGAAGCAATGYGTTGTGAAATACTAAAACGTTTTTCACTGGATACTTTTGTTATATAACATACAAATTTATTATCTTTATTTTTCTTCAATCCCTTATTATCTTTTCCTTTAATTCTTAAAAGTTTGTTCTTGTTTTTCATCCAGTCTAATTCATCACCAGTTTGAAAATGTAATTTTCTTTTTGCCTTGACAGGGTGAGGGTTATTGTCACTAATTTCAGTTTCTAACCCTATGTATTTAATTTATAACATTATAAATACCTAATTAGATACCTTATAACAACATTAAAAAACGTTTAATGTCTGAACCTGAGTTAACGTTTAAAAAAAGTGTTACACTTTGTTTGTCAATGGAAGCAGCGAACCAGTGTAACACTTTTTTTAAACGTTAACTCAGGTTCAGACATTAAACGTTTTTTAATGTTGTTATCCCTGATACCGTAAACAACTTGATCTCTCAATGAATCATCTAAATTAGTACCAAATTCGCAATACTGTGAACACTTTTTTAATGCGGTCACAAATTGACTTATTGTTTCTTCTGAACCTTGTTTCCTCTCCTTAAACTTGTAACGTTCAGTTAGAACATTAGGTTTAGGATTAATATAATTAGATAGCATTTCTTTTAGTGTGTCGTAACTTTTATCTACTGGCTTATATGGAGTACAAAGATCTCTGACTAATACATAACCGTCATTGCCCAAAAGTGTTAAGAACATTAATTTCTTTTTGTGTGAATTAATTTCATTTAATAATACATACAATTCAAAACGCTCAATCCACGAACTGAAGTCGTCGACTTTCRAATTAAATTCGGAAATGGTGCCATTAATTTGCCCTTTGCTAATGTTACCATTACCACTACCGCTACCACTAGAAGCCTGCGTAGTTGCACTTTGATTGTTTGAACGACTCATAACACTTTTTATTTTAAAACACTAAGCGTTTTAAATTAATATTACGCGCTTAAAACAAATTACATTAAAATCAAATTTCATTTCGACACGTGGTTTTTTCAATTTACCTCGTCGCCATTGTTATGTCTGTATAGAAGCATTAAGCACACAACTTGAACGCATGAATGCAAAACAACGAATGACTCTTTATTATTTAACATATCCTGGAAGAAATAACTATTTCCAAAGACATTACATTTTGTATGTTATCATATGAAATATTTATCATAAATATTAGTTTTCGCGGTATCAAAATGAGCACAAAAATACAGTGCATCCAACAAAAAAAAAAAAATCAATTTTTTCGACTTAGGAGGTTTTGCCACGAAGCCGACGATATATTCCTGGCATAACAGTTTGTATACTCTGACAAATATTTTTTGGAGTCGATAAAAGAGTCCTACTATCAACCGGTAAATCTTTGAAACACTCGTGATTTTTTAATCCCTTTAGTAATCCGTTCAGAGCTATATGAGAAATGTTAAAATTAAGAGAACATGATGCTAAGAAATCTTTTAATGAAAAATCTTATTGAATAATTGAACTTTCTTCAACATCATCACGGAGATTATCAGATAATTCTTCTGGAAAATCATTGGAAGTACAAGTAGTAGATAATATTGTATCTGGGATTTTAACAATTGAAGAAGAAACTTTTGGAGAAAATACATTAGGTACTGTAATTAATGATTCATAATTATTTTCACACAAATTAACTGATGGAGAAACTTCATGGAAAATATCATTGGAGTTACCATAAATTGCATTAAGGGTATAATCAATTTCATTTTTAATTTTTCTTTTTTTTTGTACGCTCACTCGAAATCATTTTATGTGGTTTAAGTAATATAATGTTTAGCCTATACCTGCTTAATATATTAATATTATTATAAATGTAGATATTATATAAAAGTAGTTATGAAACTATTATAACATAATACCTAATATAATACGTTTTATTTTTAATATCATTAACTTAAATAATACTTAGATTTTAATCTTAAATTAAAAAATAAATGGAGCCTGATGGCTGATATTACCGTCGTACTAGTAAGTTGAACAGCGCAATAGGTAGACAATACTGAAAATGATGGAGTAATGCTCCTCGAAAACAAGATGATGGCAGTGACATGGGACGCACCACGGAAGGTATGCACAAGGCAGTCTACAAATCCCCAAAGTCACACACCTGGACACATACCTTTAGAATAGATGTAGATATCTGTTGGCTGRATATAACGCACTGATGAGACTAAAACTAAGTGATAGGATACGACGATGTTGGTGACTGGAGACACACACCACGGGAGTTATGCACGAAGCAGATTACCGATCTCCAAAATCACACAACTAGACGTAGGTACCTAAAATAAATCAAATAGATGTAGTTTTCTGTTGGTCAGAAAGCTTCAAAATTAATACGCCAGACTTACAGTAATGGCGAAAATATGTAACGGCGAGTAACAATACTGTCAAGTTTCTAGAAAACACGTGTAACGATAGGTACGACGATGTTGGTGACTGGAGACACACACCACGGGAGTTATGCACGAAGCAGATAACCGATCTCCAAAATCACWCAACTAGACGTAGGTACCTAAAATAAATCAAATAGATGTAGTTTTCTGTTGGTCAGAAAGCTTCAAAATTAATACGTCAGACTTACAGTAATGGCGAAAATATATAACGGCGCGACACGTGATCCCGATTGTACACTATAGAACGACAAACCAATCAGGCCGACGATGGATACGCCAGATACGTTAAAAAGTTTTTAAAAAAAAGTTAAAAGCTTAAAAAGCCGTATCAATAAAAACATTAACTAATGAAAAAAATAATTTAATAATTTAATGATTATAAACGAACATGAACACGTGAACAAATCCACCAAAGGGCAACGGTATACACGGAGGTATGGTAAAAGAGTGAAGACCAGAAGACGCCGAGACGGCGAGACGGTTAAAATGAAAAGAAGACAAATATGAAATAAGATACTCAACGGTCGCCGATCGCAGCGATTGGTGACAAAGAAAAAGTTGTCGATAGTGGTGGGGACAACTTCGAACCACGCACAATCACAGATATAGATCATAATAATTAATATTCTCTATCTGTGGCCTGTCGCCCGTATTCACAATACACAATATTGTATAAACTGCTGGCGCGCACTCCAGCACAATAGTAGACAAACGCGAAGCGCGCCAAATCGCAAGATTAGGACATATTTACCAAAATACTATAATTATATATATACTGTATACGTCTGTGGTTGTATTATATATTGTAATTGTATATATTATATATATTAGTATATTGTATATAAATATATATATATATATTATCCATAATATATTGTCATCAAGATATACAAACGTATGAATTTTACGGTATAATAATAATTATTATTTTTATCATAATACATATTAGGTACCTTATTGTTAAAACGGTTTATTTAGGTGAAAAATATAAAATAATTTATCCTTACCTTGCAGTTTTGAGGTGAACAGTTTTTCCGCACTTTATCATTTGCCATTATTCAAAATGTTTCATAAATTATACACTATTAGCTAATAAACACATTTTGATAAACCACTTTCAACAAATAAAAATAATAATAAACACATATTACTGATAAAATATGATAATATATTAATACGCCAAGAGGACAAACAATCGAATTCAAACGAGGACTTACCCGGAAAATCCCGATTTCTTAATTCGCCACGGAGTCCACGATTGTAATATATAATATTATAATATATATTATACCTATTACTCGACTCGACTAATTATATTAATAGATCAAAACGTCCCGCGGCTGTAGTTTAGTAGGCCTATGTAATATTCGCGGTGGCCGACCGGGAAAAGCCGGTTTTAGTTTACAGTGGCGGGGGAGTGGGGTTCTTCTAGACTTTTCGATCACAGTCAGTGACTTATCGGCATAATTATTATTATTGTCTCGCCATCCCGCGACAAAAATAAATATATACGATAACTCGATAACACCGTCGCTGTAGCTCGATTCTGTAACTCGATAAGAGGCCTTATCGAATAATTTCGGTTTGTTAAGCCATCGATAGTGAGCGTTATCGACAATAGCAGAAATGAGCGATTCTCTAAATAATTGATAACGAAATTAATCGTTAAATGTCAAATTATTATCGAAAATATTCGATACCGTATCGGACCTTATAGGAGGGCTGTTAAGCCTTATCGAATGTTATATTGTAATCGTTAAACGTTATACCTACATTGTACATTGACAATTGACAACTAGTTTAACATTTAGATTAATATGTGATACACTGAAAGACTTCTTAATTATTATTTTAAACATTGAGTATTTAAAAGTCGTAAAACAAAACATGGCTTTGTATTTTTTGGGATATGAGTTGGAGGTATTAGAGGAAAGACTTAGGCTAGTTGAGAGGCGGATGGAAAGACGGATTTTACGTGACACTCAAAATCCTTATGAACTGCCAAGAAGAGAATTTATGAATGTGTTTCGTCTAAGTCCTGAATTATCCATGGACTTAACCAATACTCTTCGACTTTTCCTTCAACGAGAGCGAAGCTCGGGTATCCCTGTAGAAATTCAGGTAATTTTTTTTWATTTAAATACCTAATAGAATTTTATGCCTAGMCTAAAGTATTACAAAATTATTCTTGATTTAACAAAAACTAAACCTAGGTTAATAATATTCTTACAGTTCTTACCTATTAGATTTGGATAGTTTAAAATTTAAAAAGGTACCCTTCGTACGTCCTTTTATAAAATAACATACAAAGGCTAATCAAATTCATGTTTATTTTGTTTGGATTATAGGTATTAGCGGCAGTTTATTTTTATGCGAAAGGTAGCTACCAACGTGCTACTGGTGATCATTTTGATTTAAATATTAGTCAGCCATCAGTCAGTAGATGTCTCCATAGTGTGACTAATGTTATAAATGATAGGCTCTTAAGGCAATGGGTAACCTTTCCAATGACAAATGCAGATAGAAATGAAGCACGTGAAGAATTTAAAAATGCACCACAACCATTTGAAGGTGCTATTGGTGCCATAGATTGTACCTACATTAATATCCTTGCACCTAAAGATCACGAAAAAGCTTATGTGAACCATCATGGAAATCACTCGTTGAATGTTCAAGCAGTATGTATAGACATTTTTTAATTAATTTACGATTCATACAAATTAATTTATTAGATAGTTAGCCCAAAACTGAAAATTTTAAATATCAATCCAAGATATCCAGGAGCTAGAAATGATTCATATGTATGGAGCACATCGCCCATTCGTCGTGCAATGGAATATCATTACAATCAGGGTGAACGCCATACTTGGCTCAWTGGTAATAATTTTACAAAAAAATGTTCTCATTTTTAAGTAGACTAAATTATTGAATATTGATAAAGTAACTTAATTTATGTTATATTATTTTACTATAGGTGATTCTGGCTATCCATTGGAGCCATGGCTAATGACTCCAATTCCACATTACAGAGAAGGCACTCGACAATTACAATATACTTTGAAACATTGTAAGGCAAGGAATGTTGTCGAACGATTTTTTGGGGTGTTTAAAAGTGTATGGAGATGCCTGTCCTATCAACGGGTGTTAATGTATGCACCCGTTATGGCAGGAAAAATTGTAAATGCTTGTGCAGTTCTCCACAATATGCGTATCCATTACCGTATACCAATAGAAGAAGAAAATATTGACAACAGGAATATCAACAATTATAATGAAAGAAATTTGCCACAAAATGATGTTGCCATGAGAGGAGGCCCTAGAGCTGTAGCAATGCGTATTCAAAAACAATTAATGCAAGATTGGTTTCCCGGGTATATTGATGGTGACAATTAAACAAATATTTTACTTATATAAACTATTTATACAAAATATGTTAAAAAAAAAACAAACAATAAACTATGTTGCTTATTAAAACAAAAACAAAATTATTAATATGTGTGTATTATCACTTATTTTTGGTAAAGAATGTTACAAATAGTTAGGTACTTATAACAAATAGGTAATTGTATTTCCTTACAAATATAAAACAAAAAATAAAATAGATAACTTCATGTAAAACAATAAAATGTATAAGGTGTAATATGATCACTTTTTTCCCCTAAAAATATTACTATAGTACTTATAACAAATAGGTAATTTTATTTCCTTACAAATATAAAACAAAAAATAAAATAGATAACTTCATGTAAAACAATAAAATGTATAAGGTGTAAATAATTAGGTATAGGTTAATGTAATTTGGAAGAAATGATAGACAACAAATCTAATAATTTTTCCTCCATTTGGGTTCGTCTGTCATCATTCTCTGCCATTCTGATCATAGCATCTGCCATTCTTTTATTACTTTCAGCTATGGTACTCAAGGTACTTGTTATCAACTAAAACATTTCAGGGTAATTAATTAATTAGTTTATCTAGTAAAATTATTATACTTAATATTAACCTCTGTTTGTTGACTGTTCGTGGTTGCCAAATTTGTGAATACTTCACGTGCTGCACTGAATTGATTGTTAAGTTTAACATCTTTATTAATATAACAAATTAAATTAATACAATATTAAACAAATAATTGTATATGAGTAATTCTCAATGACTTACTTTTTTTTTTTTTTACATTTGTAATAGGTATACCTATAAGGTTTTCAGACTGACTACATAAGGCTACCTCAGTTGGTATAGGTGTAATTTGTAATAAGCCGTTGGAATTGTCCATGATGGAAGCTTCTAATACTTCAATATTGTCATATATTTCATCATCATCTTGACAATATTCTATAAGTAATACAAATTGCATAGTCAACATTTGAGTAACCCTTAGTTAGGTAATAYGTAAATAGGGCTACAGACATCGGAAACTAAATTATGTATCATAATACATCCATAGTCTATTTTTAATTTAAAAAAAAATCAAAATTCAATGTTTGGGAATATAGTATTTTTTTTAAACATTTTCGAAAAACAAAAATCTTCA